TGTAGGCCTGTTGGTTTAGGTCTTACTCTTCGCTTACAGGAGTTAAGTGTTGTCTGTAATCAATCCTAGTGGATGATACTACTATAATAAATTTAAGAAGCTTAGTAGATCTTAGCAACCTCTCTCTTTGGAAGAATAGCATCACTTTGATCGTACCTGCTAAAACAATTCTTTCCCAAGATCATAGATTTTTTTTGAAGCCTGAATTAAGTTGTGGAATGAGGGGATTCTTTTGGAAAGAACTGGGAGAAAGAATGAGTAAAGCACCATCAGGAGTTGTGGGTTGTTTTGTTTGGTTTTTTTTTCCAGTCATGTCTTTTGTAGTATCTCTAAAATGTACCTTAAGAGTACTAGGCTATTGCTTTGTCTTGATTATTTTATCAAACTAATGAGAGGAAAGTGCTATGTCAGGATTTTTTTGTAGTACAGATCTAGGTGTTTTTTTTGTGATTTTTATTGTTGGGGTTTTTTTTTAATTTTAAATCCAAACAAATAAGATTTGTGGTAGACCAGGAGATAAAAGATTCTGTGATTGGCCCTGAAGTCATGGCATAACCCGTTATTCTAGGAACGGAAGTCAAACTTTTGGGATGCAATTGGTTGTTGTATTTTGCTGGAAAATACATCTTTGGCTCTTCCCGTGTCTTGTATTTGCAGCCCAGTGCCTATGAGGAGGTGGACTGGTGCCTCGAGTGTACCACAGAAATCCCTGATGCCCAGGAGCTGAAGGAGTGGATGACTGTGGGGAAGGTAATTTTTCAGATCTTGGTACTTGCCAGCCTAAGACGGTGCAAGGCTACTCAGCCTGAAACAATTGCCTTGGCAAAGAGTTGTAGAATAACCTAGCCTGGAGGCGATGTCTGGAGATTGCCAGTGCAGTTTCCTGCTTTAAGCAGGACCAAGTAGATGAGGTTGCTCAAGGCCTCCTTTAGTTGAGTTTTGAGTATCTCCAGGGATTAAAATTACACAGCCTATTCCAGCATCTGTTTCAGTATTTGATAACCCAATTGACAAAAAGACATTTCTGTGTGGGTAACTGGTATGTTTTGTGTTGGAGCGTGTCTGCTCTTTCTTGTCCTATCACTGTCCATCCCTAAGAGTCTAGATCAATCTTCTCTGTTTTCTGCCTTTAAATACTTGTAGATGACAGTAGGATCTCCCTTCATTCTGAACAAACTGTTCTCTCAGCTTCTCCTAAAATATCAGGTGCTTCTGCACCCTCGTCATCTTGGTGGTCTGTTTGCTGGGCTTGCTTCAGCCTGTCTGTCTTGTACTGGGCAATGCTGAGCCGAGTGGGTGCAGTATTCCACACATAGTCTCAAGATGCCTAAAGGGAGAGTAATCCTCAGTCTTCTGGCTACCCTTTTGCTAATGCCTGCCTAGTATGTGGTTGGCACCCTTCGTCCATTAGTGGTCAACGTTCTGAAATGACTGGTACCATGTCTGCTAATTGTTCTCTGTGTTCTCGTGCTGTTCCAGAGGAAGATGATGATTGAAGATGAAACAGAGTTCTGCAATGAAGAGCTTTTACGTAATGTCCTGCAGTGCAAGGTGAGTCCACTTCTTTAGAGAGGAACTGAAGTTTTGGGGAAGCTAGGCAGATAAATAATTGAAGAAGATTGAATAGCTTATTTAGGTGATTGGCAAGAGCTCAGAACATCCTCTTTCAATTCCGTGCCACTGGTATGACCTAGTACCCTGTTGTTATTTGTCTGTTCAGCAACCTGTTTTGCACCTCAACCGTCAAAGAGAAGAATGAAAACAGTTTCACTTTCTTAGTCCAACTGAGAGACTAAAGACTTGGATAAGCTAAGGAAATAAGCTTCCTTTCTTTTCTTGCGTGTTGCATCTTCCCCTCTAGATTTTATTATGCCCTTGTAAATTACAGTAGAGTCTCTGTATATGTGTGAGAGAAACACCTTAGGCTAGGACTGCTTTTGAGGTGGCTAACCATATTATCAGGCTCTGGAGGTATCAGTACATAATACCTCAGTGTCACTAAATTTGCCTAAGAACTAGGGTGGCTTAGAAGAGCAGTACATATCATTATCTGATGGAAAAACTTTCTGTATTGGTGAACCACACCCTGCAACAAGTTTGTTGTCTAAGGAAAGAGAAGCATGAGGATAGGAAATGGTCCTGCCTGCCTATACCTCAAGGCTGTGCCAGGCCTGGCTCAATTTTGTTTCTGTTTGTGCAGAGTGTGTTTGATGAGCTGGATGGAGAAGAAATGCGTCGAGCCCGAACAAGGTCTAACCCCTACGAGATGATCCGTGGAGCTTTCTTCCTGAACAGGTTTGCAGAATTTCTGGTTGTGTTGCCCCTTTTCTATTTACGTACACTTTCAGCTGTGGGAGACAAGGTTGAAACTTAATAGGTCCCTGTTTATGTGTTCACAGGGCTGCAATGAAGATGGCAAATATGGACCATGTCTTTGACTATATGTTTACAAACCCTAAGGACTTCCATGGGGTGAGGGCCTCTTTTTAACTTTCAAAGAGCAGTGCTCTCTAAGAGAATAGAAAAGGTGGGGAGGAAGGAGAATCCTTAGGATAGTAGCTGGGAAAGAAACTTCTACAAGTAGTGCAGCTTATGGTGTGTCTGGTTTGACTGATGGGAGGTGTTACTGGGTCAGTAGAATTTCCTCAGTTTCCTTTTGCAGAAGCCTTTGATAAAGGAGCGAGACGCAGAGCTGCTCTACTTTGCTGATGTGTGTGCCGGTCCTGGAGGCTTCTCCGAGTATGTCTTGTGGCGGCGGAAGTGGCACGCGAAAGGGTTTGGCATGACTTTGAAAGGACCAAATGATTTTAAGCTGGAGGACTTCTATTCTGCTTCCAGTGAGCTCTTTGAACCTTATTATGGTATGTAGTGCATGTGTAAGTGTTACCTCATCATTTTGCTTTTGCTGCAGCCCCTGTATCAGGAGCTGGGCTGGTATTGATAGCAGCATGAGGTTCTGACAGAAGACTGTTTATAGAGAAGTAGGGTAGAAGAGGGCTAGAGATTAGTGAGCTCGCATACCAAGACACATTTGTGCACTTATTCCCAGTCTTTCCTGGGAATGTATGTCCCATTGCAATAGTTGATACTCGAGTGCTTATCTGAAAAATTGTAGAGTGCTTTAAGATTACTTAACGGTATTTTCTCCACTTCATTGATGTCAGCCTGAAACACAGTGAGTGAGATGACTTTACCATAGGATCATGGAATGATTTGGGTTGGAAGGGGCCTTAAAAATCATCTAACTCCAACCCCCCTGGCATGGCCAGAGACACCTTCTGCTAGACCAGGTAGCTCAAAGCCCCATCCAGCCTGGCCTTGAACACTGCCAGGGAGGGGACATTCACAGCTTCTCCAGGCAGTGTTCCAGTGTCTCACCACCCTCACAGTAAAAATCTCTTCTATAATTTAAGTCTACTCTTTTTCAGTTTGAAACAGTTACACCTGGTTCTGTCACAGCGTTCTCCAATTTAAGAGTCTCTCCCTATCTTTCCTTTAGGCCCTCCTTAAGTACTGGAAGGCTGCTATTAGGTCTCCCAGAGCTTTCTCTTCTCCAGGCTGAACAATCTAAGCTCTTTCAGCCTGTCCTTGCAGGGAAGGTCCAGCCACATGACTTGCCCAAAAGTCTGATAGCAGAGCCAGAGATAGAAACCTTACTTGCCTGACTGACAGTATGCTTCTATACCAGACCTCCCTAGTTCTGCTTTGATAATTGATTTTGGTAAAGATAAATAAACCAGACTTGGGCTAGAGGCGATATGTGAATCACTGTGGCTGAGCTTCTTAATCCAAAGAGGTTTAAGCTAACATGTTTTACTTTGCTTTGAGACAGACTAAGCAGGTGCTCAGTTTGAGACAGACAATTGGATGGTAACTTGTTAAGCTTGCTGACATGTTTGAGCCCTCTCTCTGCATAGCCTTAGGAATTGGAAGGGAAATACAAGGATTGCTAATATTTCTGCTTCTTACTTCAGATTGTGTAAAGGAAACTCAAGCGTGACTGTTGTGTAGAGAAGAGGATTTGCTTTTCCATTGTGCTTCTCCCCCTCCCCCTGCCTCCACCAGTCTGACTTCTATCAACTGCCACTTCTGACACCTGACCATGAGCTCTTAGGCAATGGTTAGCGTTTCAGGATTAGATCTGTTAAAGAGAAGGTTCATGGCAAGGGCAGCAAGGCAGATAAACACATTGTTCTAATGGCTGCAGTGTCTGGATCTTCATAACTCACTGCAAACTGGTGTTCTTAGGGAGAGAAGGAGATACGTGGAGAAATTAATAGCCCAATGACTTTGATGCATTTTCTTGATCCATTTCTGTCTGTTGCGCTATAAAGTCTGTTGAGATGTGTACAAACGTAGCTCCTGTGATGGGAAGGAAGTAGATTGCTGTGATATTTGTGTTGTGAAGAATGGTAACAAGCTCTAGCATCGCTTCACTTACTGGCAAGGATGATTGATGAGGAATTCAGTTATCAAAGCACTATCATGCATCCTGATCTCTGCTGCTTTCTAGTCCTCTAGTTCAGTTAATAGAAGCTGTAGTTGTAAAAGATTTATAGGGACTAATACTAAACAGAAGTTCAGGTTTCTTCAAAGTCAAAATGGTGAGCTCTGGAATACCCCTTAGATTAGCTTTCTAAAACATCAACCTGGAGGACAGTGTACCTCTTTAGAAAGAGCCATGTGGAAAAACTGTGAACATTCATGCACAGACCCTATTTCCCTTTCTCTACTCCCTTTGCAGTCTTGTTTGCAAGTGTTTTTCTGGAGTTGCTTTTTTAAATTCTGGATTGCATTGTGTTTGGAAATAGAGTATTGTGTTCCTTCTGAGTAATTTGAATTTCTTAGGAGAAGGTTGCCAGTGCACAACGTACATACTTTTGCCTTGTCTGTAAAAGCATGTTAAGTACCAGGTGAGCTGTGCAGTGAGATCGAGCCACACATTTTTAGTAGGTTCAGCAATGTGTCGTTCCCACTCGGATGAGAATATGATGTTGTCATGCAGTCAGCTCTTATCTGAGGGGAGGGAAGTGAATGATTCGTTTTTTTGCTGAGGCGAATGTACAACTCATCATTTGAGCATGGTTGTTGTTATGGTTTTGTTTAGCCCTGGCCATGCAACCTGAATATTTTTTCTAATTTAACGGTCATTTAAAGTAGTGAACAAGGGAATGTGTTAATGCTTATTCGCCTATCTAGGTCTGTGTAATTTCTGAGTGAATGTTGACTGAATACAATACATCACCTGCAGATACTGATCTTCTCTCTGTACTTCCAAACATGTTAGTAATTGTCTTCTCTTTTACCCTTAGGAGAGGGAGGAATTGATGGTGATGGAGACATCACTCGGCCAGAGAACATTACTGCTTTCCGGAATTTTGTTTTGGACAATACTGATCACAAAGGAGTTCATTTCTTAATGGCTGATGGGGTTGGTCCATTTCTTTTTCTGCCTGCACTAATGACAAAAACTGATACCAGTCTGCATATAATAGGATACTTGACATGTGTCCGTAGTTATAATGAGAAATTGCTTGCCATTAAAATTGCTCGTGGCAGTGGTTTTTAGCTTAAAGAAATGGAAAATGCCATAATTCCATGATTTAGCTATACAGGGTCATTTTCTTGACTAACAGATTTGTGGAGATACTAATCATATGCTTTGTGCTTTATAGGGGTTTTCAGTGGAGGGTCAGGAGAATCTGCAAGAAATCCTAAGTAAACAGCTCATGCTTTGCCAGTTCCTTACAGCACTGTCCATTGTCCGGACAGGTGAGTTTTATCCATTAATCATAGAATCATAAAATGACCTAGGCTGGAAGGGACCTTAGAGATCATTTAATCCAACCTCTCTGTCTCTTCTTCCCTTTCCTCAAAGGTGTGAGTGGCATTGTGGAAGAATGCTGTACAGTTTTTAGTAACATGCCATGAAGTTTCCTCTGCAATGAGGTTAAGTTGCACAGAACTGAGTGTGTACGCACACATCCCTGAGACAATTGTCACAAATCTAAGAGAACTGGGGCAGAAAAATAAGATTTTGTCAATTATCTTTTTAATTAAAAGTATGAGGTAAAATCTGTCTTGGGCTAAAGTGTGATAACTGGAGGGTATGTCTGAGCTTTATGGCAGCAGCTGGACCGTCTGCTTCCTGAATATTCTAGTAGGCTGGCTGGAACAGAGAGTGGCGTTTATCCATTTAATCCTTTTCTCTAATTTGTGGCTTGAGAATTTGCCATCTCTGTGATCAGAACACGATGATGTCTCACATTGTCTTAGCTGTACCTCACTGTTGCCAAATGATGGCCGTTACAGCTCTGTCTGATTTTGATGGCTTCTCTCTTCTGCTGAATTTAGGTAGCAGTTGGCACTGATGCAGAAGATAAAAATACTTATTGTGCTCTATGTCTTGTGCCCTCTGTTTAAAAGTACCTGAGGCAGTTATCTACTTAGCGGTAGTCTCAAATGTGATACAGTAAAAGGAGCAACCTTCTTTAAGTCTTTCCTGTCTGGGTAGATAATAGCTCTGCAAGACTGCTTTTTGCTTGGGGAAACTGTGAATCCTGTTTGAAGGCAAGGGGCAATGCGGACTCTTTCTCGATGGTAACGTAGTTTTCTTCTCCAGCCTGAGGATTCTTGCATATATTTGGGGCTCCTTTTCCATTGTGGCTTTTGCATAGGTTGCTTCCATGCCATAGGGCACAGCTTAGGCCTGAAAGGGGGGAGTCTGGGGTGAATAGAAGGCTTGCTTGTGAGACAGTGTGCATGCTGCTTTGATCATGGTCAGGAAAATGCTTTTCTCTTTGTAGCAGAGATATGGGGAAGAGGGTTCACGGAGCCCCATTGGCCCATTTTGTGAATGTGTTTTAGATGCTGTTTAATTGTACAAAAACACTCTTACCAGTTCTGCAGAAGAGAAAGTTATCGAGGTCCTGGAATCTCCTTATTTCCTTATAATCTTCTGGTATTGGTGTGCTTCCTCTCTTTTTTTTTTTTTTTCCTAGGAGGACATTTTGTCTGCAAAACCTTTGACTTGTTCACTCCATTCAGTGTGGGACTTGTTTATCTGCTGTATTGCTGCTTTGAGCGAGTGTGCATCTTCAAACCTGTGACAAGCCGCCCTGCTAACTCAGAGAGGTGAGATTCTGGAGTGTGACTACTAAAGAAACTGTCCTCTATAAATAGAGGGATAGATGGATTTGGATAAGTCTAGTGGAACCTCTGTGACCTGCCTCAATTGGCAACAGCCTTGGAGGAAGAAGCATTTAAATGCTCTAGCAAATTACGATGTTAGACAAGGTAAAGAAGAAATTTGACAAATTACTCTTCTGAGAAGAAAACAGTGGAACTGAATATGTAACAAATTCAGTTTTGCATGAAATAACTGTGGTTCTAATGAAGCTAGAGCATATTATATGTGTAACTCTACTTGTCAAGTTTGGCAGAATTGATTTACTACTTGAGAGAGATCTCTGGCATTTTTCAGTAGGACTGAGGTTTTCTAGTCTTTCCAGAGCATAGAAAATGTATAATGATTTTGTGATATGTGAGATTGTACCTTCTTAGCGATACCCAGCAGAAAAGAATTTCTGGGATTTGGGAAACTGTTCTGATAATGGCAACGTGGCAGGAAATTTGGCTATGTGGAAGAATAGAACTTGCATCTGATCTCTCTGCCATGCTCCTCAGGTATGTGATATGCAAAGGATTAAAGCTAGGGATCGACGATGTGCGGGACTATCTCTTCACGGTGAACATCAGACTCAACCAGCTGCGCAACTCTGATGTGGATGTGAATCTCGTTGTCCCACTGAATGTGATCAAAGGCGACCAGGATTTCTATGATTACATTGTCCAGTCCAATGAAAAGTGAGTACCCGTGGGCAATGAGGGCTGCTGCCTATAGTCAGGTTAACCAACACGGCTTTCAGTTGTAGCTTCTTGTGCTCATGGAGGTACTTGTTGGTGCTGCTATGCTGCTCTGCTTTTCGTCCCTGAGAGGCTTAGCACAGCAGAGTGACCCTGTAGATAGAAATGCTGTCAACTGTTGGTGACTGTTTGCCCTCTGAGTACTGTGTAGAAAAGAAAGGAGGCTACTGTCTAGCTCTTTCTGGTGGTCTTCCTGTCACTTTAAATCATGTTGGCAATGATGTGTGTCACTGCTCTGAGGATCAGACAGGCTTCCTTCTGTTGTCCCAATGCTCTTCCTTGTTTTGAATGGTAGAAAAATCTTGAAGGTGATTAACTTGCTCCCTGACTGAAACTTGTCCTCTTTTTCAGCCACTGTAAAGTTCAGATAAAGGCACTAGCCAAAATTCGTGCCTTTGTTCAAGACACGTAAGTATATTCTTCTGGCTTTTGGTAAGAACTGAATTAACCTACTATAAATGAATTGCCTTGTCCTTCTTTAATGTGTTTTTGATATGAGCTGATACTTGGCTTGGTCTTTGGAACCAGGAAAGTGAATAGTGCTTTTAGGTAGCCCGGTTTGTGTCTCACCTTAGTTATGTGCAGAAATGTGTGGGTGGCTGGAGGGGTCCTCAAAGTCAATGGTCTGTTATCACTCTTGTTGAAGTGGCTTTTGTGCATTGCATGATTTTCAGTGACCTTAAGTGGGCCTGCTTCTTAGCATGAATGTAAGCAGAAAACCAGCTTGCAGCTAGTATGTTCAATTCTACACTAACCATCTAAGTTGGGTGTGGTTCTTAGCTCTTCAATTTATGGGGGCCAGTCAAAGCATTTAAGTTCCATACCTACAATTGCCCAAAGCTTATGATGTGAATTTCTTGTGTAAAGCAAACACATATCAATTCCCTGGCGTGACTTTTCTGTGCAAGTGTCGTTCAGAGATAATACGTGGTAGAAAGTTGAGTGAGTCTGGCAGTCAGGAATTATCTGAAAGTTAATCCTAACATTAACACTGCTTTTTGCCTGCCCTTCATTGAGTCTTCACTGCTATTAGTACACAGGGCTATGTACCCACTCTTGGAGATTACGCCTAAGTTCATACTAATGCATAACTTCTTGAAAATATTGATGCTCAGTGGTACTTTCATGGAATAGAGCAGTGGCTGCTAATCGGTAGTGCAGACTGTGAAACAAAGCGAAACATGGGGATTAGAGATGGGTGGAGGGTGGGGAGGGAGGGCAGCATCTTCTTTGGTGTAACCAACTGTTGAGGAACAGTTCACATTTTGTCATTCCTCAGCCAGACACTGAAAGATGGAAGTTTTATAGGGCTGGGATATGTAGTGCTGCAAGAGCAAGGGGGTGTCATGGTCTTAACGGTCTGCTGCCTTTCTCTAGGACCCTGATTGAGCCACGGCAGGCTGAAATCCGAAAGGAATGTCTCCAGCTATGGGGGGTAAGTAAGCTGACAAACAGAGAGGTTGTGAAGGTGTCCTTGCTGTGGTGACAAAGGAGTGGAATTACAGTACCAGAAGGACTTTCTAGCCAGAGATTTAATACCCTGTCTTGTGGGATAGTCAGAGACCATTTCGAGCTGTTTATGTAAGCAGACAGGATGTTTCTGATTTATTATATGTGTGGCTTAACTAAGCAGGTTTCTGTGGTGCAGCTGAGAATATTTCACTGTACGCAGAGTGAACTCAGCTTCTAGTTCCCAAGCAGCAGAGCTCTTCAAAAGATCCTGTTTTATGAGTCTGCAGTTTCTCTTTCCTGAGGTTTTCACTGCAGTGGGGCCACAGATGTGGCAATCGGTTTCAGAGGCTAATCGTGCAACTTCGGTGAAAGAGTATTTCATCCAAACATGCATGAAATCAAAGGTTTAGCTTGAAACTTTCTGAAGTTGCCCATTGTTTCCTGTGAGATGTGGTATGGCTACATTAAATCTGCAAAACGTGTGACTTTTTATTTGCCAGGTGACTTCTCCAGCACCAGGAAACTCTTTTTTTTTAGGGAAACCAGAAAAGTTCCTATGAATGTGCCAAAGAATAACACTAACCAATCGTTTGTATTTGTTGCTAGATTCCTGATCAGGCTCGTGTTGCTCCTTCATCTTCAGATCCTAAGTCCAAGTTCTTTGAGCTGATTCAGGTGAGACCTTATCCAGAAATTTGTTCTGAGTTCTTTCCTACAAATAGAACTTTTCTCCATAGGAATTATTGAAGAAGCTAGTCCTGGATTATCATTTCATGTAGAAGTTGCATTTACCTACCTGTTGATGTAAATTGCCTGTGTCTAAATTGCCTTTTCCATACTTTGCTCTTTAGGGCACAGACATTGAGACCTTCAGTTACAAACCCACTCCTCTGAATTCCACTACACTGGAGAAGATTCGCCAAGTGTTAGATTACCGGTGCATGGTGTCTGGAAGTGAGCAGAAATTCCTCTTGGGGCTCGGAGTAAGTGCCGATAGCAGGCTCTGAGTTTTGCTGGTTCATGTCGGTGCTTCTGTTCTGCCTTGCAGTTTCATCCCATTGTTTCTTGTCCTCAAAGGCCAGAAAGAATCCCCATCAGCAGTCCCTGAGACCACTAGTTATGTTTCTTTCTCCTGACTTCTCTGCTTTTCACACTAATTAACCCTATTTTTGTAATCACAGCCTACAGAGACCTGTACTTTTGCTAGTGTCTCTAATTATCTTCGCTGTCCTTTCAAAGGTGTTCTGTTTCTGTTTTTTTGTGCAGGTATTTAAAAGTCACTAGCAGATTAGAATCAATGTTTTTGTTCCTTTCCTGTAGAGCTTAAGGTTCTTCCTTTACACTTCTGACAAAAAAAACCTGCCTGTGACAGCCTAGGACAAAATATTGCCTGAGGGCTGTGCTACAGTTAGTCAGAGGTCTCTCCTCCACCCCTGTCCTCATGAAGCTTTGGCTGAATCTGACTCTGCCTTCTACACACAGAAATCGCAGATTTACACCTGGGATGGTCGCCAGTCAGATCGCTGGACAAAGCTGGATTTGAAAACTGAGCTGCCACGAGATACCCTTCTCTCTGTGGAGATTGTTCATGAATTGAAGGGAGAGGTAGGAGGCTATTCTCTCCCTTGGCAAGTGGCTGCAATATGTGATGAGCAGTTTGGCCTATTCTCTGTAAGATACTGCAGAATAAATGTTCCATCTGTGCTAGGTGCAAGGTTTTTTTGTGTACGTTCTTTAGAGAAACTCTTTTGAATTAAGTTCCTTCTTTCTGTCCAGTGCTAGACATACGAGCTTTTAACATTATTTTGAAAACACTTTTGGCCTGACATGCTGCTGCTGTTCTACATAGAGCAACAGATGGTACTGCCAACATAACTTAATGTGTTCTGTGGCTCGTTGGGTACATAACTAATCAGTAGTGATTAGAGGCCTTGGGGAAAAGATTCTCATGGTATATTCACAGCGTGAGGTGTTGCTGCCTGCAAGTTTGTCTGGCCTCTGGCTCTTTAGATGAGGATGCTGTAGTGCGCTGGGCTTTGTGCTATGGTACTTGGTAAGGCACAGTGAATGGTGTCTTGTCAAAAAATGGCCTAGAAATCAAAGTTGAAATAGGAACAGTCTGAGTAGTAAGTTTCTGTATTGCCCTCCTTAGGGGAAAGCCCAGCGAAAAATCAGTGCCATCCACATCCTTGATGTCTTGGTGCTGAACGGCAATGACGTTCGAAAGCAGCATTTCAACCAGAGGTATGTAGGATCTGGAGAAGCTTCTTTTTGAACTGGGAGGGCAGGGTGAAAAAAGTCTTGCTCAGTACCTGTTTGGCTACCTGTGGAGGCAGTCTGCATGTACTGAAGTGTCTAATCAGTTATTGTTACCTACCTGCTGTGCCAAAGATCTCGCTAAATTGCTGGATTCTGCTTCTGTTTTTGTTCAGGATTCAGCTGGCGGAGAAATTTGTCAAAGCTGTTTCTAAACCTAGCCGGCCAGATATGAACCCCATCCGGTGAGTTCCTCAACCTGGCACGGTTTGGTTTTAGTCTGTTGCAGGATGAAGATAATGAGCTGAAGGAGAGTTAAATTTCAAGCTGAAATTTAGTTCTGTTATGCTCAATGGAAAGAGGCTAAAAGCCATCTAAATATCCGAGATAAAGGTTGGTAGTAGAGAGGTTGTGTCCTCCTTTCACATATGAGACCGTCATGTTTTCATCATCGGTGTATTGGCTGGTGCTGATTTCAAATAAGTGCTATAGTAGCTCTAGCACCCAGTTAGCTTAATCGTTGCAAAGACTTCTATGTCCTTGTCTGCCCTGAAGGGTCAGCAGTGGTACAGAGATACTGTTAGTAGATAAATGAAGTGCTGACCAGCATTTACAGACTCCAAATGCAGAAGGGTTTAGTTGCAGTCCTAAGAACATTCCTGACAAGGGGCTTCAGCTTTGGTTGCTTCCTGACCTTCAGTTTCACTCATTCTATTCATATTTCATTCATTCCATTCATATTCTTGGTGGAGTATGAGAGCAGCATTGTGCTGGGTATCACATAGGTGTTGTGGACAAAACAGCTTCTGCTTCAGAACTAGAAGTGCCGTGATACTGTGAGAGAAGCTGGAGGAATGAAAAGATAATGTTCTCAGTGGTGGTTTAACAAAAGATGAGTGAGATCTCAATTAAGCTCAAGACAAACAGACAGCTGCAAATATATAACTGGAGGAGCTCGAAATATTGGTGAGGGCTGAAGATGAAGTGAGAAGGAGAGCTATAGAAATGGGTTGGAGAGGGGTCCTTTGCTGCTCTTGTGAAAAGGGGCTCCAACTGTGCTCTTTTAAAGCCTCATGCTTGTAGCAACGTGTGGGAGAAGGGTGGTTGGGGTGTCAGATTGGAGCCGTTGCTTTTGAAATTTTCTGATTGTTTTTCTGTGTCTCAGAACAACAAAAGTAGAATGATGACTCCAAATCATCTTTACTGATTTAGAAAAAAACCCAACCAACCAATGAAAAAAACACCCAACAAAAAACAGCCAAAACCCCACATTTTTTTACCTCAGGGTGGCTAACAAGTTTGTGGTGTACCTAAGGATAAAAATGTTGAAGACCAGACAGTTTGGTTTTACTTCGAGGCTAGCATGCTGGGATCAGAACTTCGGTGAATTTACCTTATGGGAAAATGCACCCGATTTTTCATTTTTCTCCCTCTTCTGTATGCTCAGTCTGAGATAAAAACACACAGATTCCGTAGGAGCAAGGATGCTGATAACGCTGCTTACAGCAACCCAGCTGTGAGCATGCAGGGTCCGGTTTTCTCAAGCCAGGAGAAATAAGGCACTGGTGCATAAGACTGAGGAAAATGGTGAACCTCAGTCACGCTTCACCACCTTGTGCTGTACAAAATGAACTGTTCCGATGCTCCTTGTAGCTGGGACAGAGGGAGGGGGGACAGTTTCCCTTTCTTTTTTTTTTTTTAAATCACATTTTTGTCTTTTTTTTCTCCCCAGAGTGAAGGAAGTGTACAGATTGGAGGAAATGGAGAAGATTTTTGTGAGGTAAGCGACCAGCACAAATGAGACTTCAGGGCCCATTGAGGTTATCGGCCACCAATGCACAGGAATGGGAGAGAGATGTTGATCTTTGCTTGAAGAGTCCTGCAGAAAGAGCAGTTAGAGCCTGTGCAGATGGTGGCTGCTGTTTCTGAAATGCTGCTGACTCGGAGCATCATCCTGCTGAGATCTAATGCCATGGGTGAGGCAAGCCGGTTTACAACAGTAGGAGTAGCATCGGTGCTTGAGTTTGTGTGCAAAGTGTCAGCAGCTTCTCAGTGGCTTGAAAGACAAAAGTTCAAAATGAGAATGCCATTTGGATTAAGTGTGGTACGTCACCACAGATCATTCACTGCAACACTCGATTCACTACCTGATCGAGACAGCTCTAGCTGGTTTCTCTAGCTGTGTGAGGGAGGCAAGAGACTGAATTCTACAGGACACGATTTTGTCCTGTCACATGCAGTGCTATCAGTTTTCACTGTGACATTTTGGAGAGGGTTGTGCATGTGGCATGTTTTGTGCAAGAAAACGAAGAAACAGGGAGTCTCTGTCACTGTCTTCTCTCAACATTTAGGTTAGAGATGAAAATCATCAAGAGCTCAGGGGGAATACCCCGGCTGTCCTACACTGGCCGAGATGACCGGCACTTTGTGCCCACAGGACTCTACATTGTACGGACTGTGAATGGTAGGAAGAGAGAGCCTCTGCTCTTATTTAACTTTTCTTTGCATCTTCAAGTAAAAAGTATTGACCAGACTTGCTCCTGTTTAACTTGGTAAAAAAAATTAATGGGAGTATTCCAATAGCTAGAGATTAAGTGTTTGCACCTACTGAGGGTAGCTTGGATTTGGATAAGGTTTAGGGTATTTGTATGATGCATTTTTCTGTTGCAGGTCAATTAGCTTATGGGGTGGATAATTCCATTTATTTACATGATGACTTTCTTTTTTAGTGAGATCACAATTTTTCATCAAGAAGATGTTTTCTAGAGTAATAGCACATGGAAATACCATATTTGGAATGTCAACTTTTAAATGCAGGGAGAAGGGACTTTTCTCAGTGGATACAGAACAGCTTGGGAAGCAGGTGGTCTTGGGTGAGGGAAGGAAAAAGGAGTAAGAGAAGGATCACAGTGATTTATTTTTTTTTATAGATTCTTCCTCCCTGCTTGCACTATGTGTGTATTTATACTGTGCTGTTTTCCCTTTTCCATTTTCTCTCTGACCCCTGTTGACTCTTCCGCAAGATCCTTGGACAATGGCATACAGCAAAAACTGCAGGAGGAAATTCTTCTTCAACAAAATGACGAAGGAATCAACATATGAACTCCCTTCCGAATCCATCGCACCCTTTCAGTGAGTACAAGCCAGAGCTAGGCTATGGAAGGATGACTGGGTGTGGGAGCACGTGTGTGTGTGTGAGTCCCTGGGAGGGAGTTCAGGTGTTCTGTGCTATGTTCTTGCAGTCGTTTGCAGTGCAGTCGCAGTCTGGTTGCCAGCAGGATGTGCTGCAGAAGCTGGCACCTTCTCAGACTCTCAGGAAACCGTTGATCTGGATTTGTGGATTTTACAATTAATTGCCACGGATAACACACATCTCACAACTTTGCTCCACTGTCTGCAGCAGAGTACAAGTTACTGAACCTGCCTGCACACGCCGAAATGGAAATGGAGCCCAGCAACTGTAATTTACTGCATCTCTGTATGTTAAGATGCTTGGCTGTAAGTTGCTAATTTAAAAGCGAATCCCAGTTCATTTAGGCCAGGCTCTGGAACACACTGTAGGTAGCTGAGAGCTGTTTAAAGAGAGGGTGAGAGACAAAAGTAGCAGCTTCTTGTGAAAGAACAGAGT